GGGGCGGGGCCGGGGTGGCGCCTTCTTCAGCACCGCGGACAGCGCGCGGGCCCAGTGGCTTAGGAGCCAGACAGGGACGCGCGCGGCTCGGACGCGCCCGGGCCTGGGACTCCGAGCCCTCCGGGGGACGCGGTGTCCGAGGGGGGAGCGTGCAACCTGCTCGCTTGGACCCCGGCCGGCCGGCCGTGATGCTGCTGGAAGCCGAGCTCGAGCGCGACCGAGAGAGGCCGGGGGCCCCCCGGGCCGCCACGGTCTGCACACTCGGTGGGACGCGGGGTAAGAGATCCCGCAGCTCCGCCCAGCCCCGCCTGCCCCCAGCCTGGGCAGGAAGGCCCAAGGGGCAGAAAGGGCAAGGACGGCAGGGGCAGACAGACATGCGAGGGCCAGACTGGCAAGGGCCGGGAAGAAGGCAGAGGGGAAAGTCCAGAAAGACTGTGGGTGGGCCGCCTGAGAAGGCACAGTGGTGGGGAAGGTGAGCTGGTCAGGCAGGTTGCGGAGGCCCCCAGTGGGTGGTGGGGAGCCTGGAGCCATGGCAGGGCTGTAATTTGAGCCGCTTGGAGCTTCCGCACCGCTGAGGCAGAAAGTGATGGAAGTGAGGGGCTGCAAGGGTGCTGGTGGGGGGAGATACAGTAGGGCCGCCAAGTTCCCCCAGGGACCCGACACCCCTCGGATCCTGCGCACAGCCCAGCCGGGCCTCCCCAACCTGACCAGCAGCAGGAGCTCGGGGCCCTGCCAGCCTCCCGCCTGAACCGCCCTCCCCAGGGGCCCTCGGATTGCTGGGAACGTGGAAAATAATGCAGTCATTGTTGGCGCTCCCGGCCAGATGCCTAGCACCGGGGGCTGCTGCCTCAGACCAGGGCCCCAGCCCTTGCCAACAGGGAGGAGTCTCCAAAGCCAATGATAGGAGACGACTCACGCCCTTTGGACAGCACCCACTGAGCCCTGGACCTGTCACTTCTGGGGTGCAGTGCAACTTCCACGGGCTGCTCCACACTGAGGCACGGAGCCTGCTGGGAGGGGACTCTGTGGTTCCTGCCCGCTTCTTCCATCCTGGGGGGTCCTTGGCTTCCGACTGTGAAAGCACAGACTGGAAGCCTCCAGGCCAGAAGCAGGAGGCAGGGCCAAGACGGGACTTGTCGTCAGACCACCGGGTGGAGGACCTGGAGGATGGAATTGGCCTGCTGGTCCCCAACACTGCCTGGGGGCTCCTGGCCTATGCCAGAGGCTCCCTGCCCTCTCCAGGCCCCTTGTAGGGAGGCGCCCACAGGTGCTGTGTTGGGGGCAGGTGTGTGCTGACCGCGCAGGGCAGCAGCCAGGAGTGGATTCGTCTCTCTGCATGCAAGGATGGGTGGGTTCGGAGCCTGCCTCTGTGGATTGAGGGCAGATGCTGGAAAATCAGGGGCAGAATCATCAGCGCTGAATGTGGTGGGGAACTGGGTGCTCAATTCTGTGAGAGCCCCAGGGCTAGGGGTTGTGGGGGAAATGGAGAGTGGATCCCAGGACTTCCCTGCTGTGCCCCTCCTGACCTGGAGTCTTGGCTGCGTGTCTAGACGGAGGACTCTGGGCCTCTTCCCCTCCGGAGACTCACCCTCCTTCCCTGCGCCCATGCCGGGAGCCGGCGGTTCCAGGGCTGCCTCAGGTGGCCGGGATTCCGGCTTCGCGGTGAGGCCCGGGCAGCATCCTCACCTTCTCCTCTTGGGTCGCGCTAGGTGCCGATCCGACGCAGTCACCAAGCCTCGCAGCTCCGGCTCCCGAGGCCCGAGGCTCCGCGGCAGGAAACCCAGCTGCCTCCCTGACCCTCTTCCCGGGACCCTGAGCGCCCCTACCCAGTGCGTGCGCACAAGCCCGGCCTCGGCCGGCGCCAGCGCCGTGCAGGAAGCCAGGGGGCCCAGGCGGGAGCCCGCGGACGGCGAGCGGGCAGCCCCTGCCGGGATCCTCCCTGCCCGTCCCCGCCTTCGGGCCTGGCTCTCTGAGCGGCGTCTGGGCACGCGGGGCTCGGCGCAAAGGCGAGCAAAGCTGTCAGCCGCTCCAGCGGCGCGTCTTTG